GTGTGCCAGTGCTCCGCTGTTGGGAGTGTGTGCCAGTGCTCCGCTGTTGGGAGTGTGTGCCACTGCTCCGCTGTTGTTGGGAGTGTGTGCCAGTGCTCCGCTGTTGGGAATGTGTGCCAGTGCTCCGCTGTTGGTGGGAGTGTGTGCCACTGCTCCGCTGTTGGGAGTGTGTGCCACTGCTCCGCTGTTGGGAGTGTGTGCCACTGCTCCGCTGTTGTTGGGAGTGTGTGCCACTGCTCCGCTGTTGTTGGGAGTGTGTGCCAGTGCTCCGCTGTTGGGAGTGTGTGCCACTGCTCCGCTGTTGGGAGTGTGTGCCAGTGCTCCGCTGTTGGGAGTGTGTGCCACTGCTCCGCTGTTGGTGGGAGTGTGTGCCAGTGCTCCGCTGTTGGGAGTGTGTGCCACTGCTCCGCTTTTGGGAGTGTGTGCCACTGCTCCGCTGTTGGGAGTGTGTGCCAGTGCTCCGCTGTTGGGAGTGTGTGCCACTGCTCCGCTGTTGGTGGGAGTGTGTGCCAGTGCTCCGCTGTTGGGAGTGTGTGCCACTGCTCCGCTGTTGGGAGTGTGTGCCAGTGCTCCGCTGTTGGGAGTGTGTGCCACTGCTCCGCTGTTGTTGGGAGTGTGTGCCAGTGCTCCGCTGTTGGGAGTGTGTGCCACTGCTCCGCTGTTGTTGGGAGTGTGTGCCACTGCTCCGCTGTTGGGAGTGTGTGCCACTGCTCCGCTTTTGGGAGTGTGTGCCACTGCTCCGCTGTTGGGAGTGTGTGCCAGTGCTCCGCTGTTGGGAGTGTGTGCCACTGCTCCGCTGTTGGTGGGAGTGTGTGCCAGTGCTCCGCTGTTGGGAGTGTGTGCCACTGCTCCGCTGTTGGGAGTGTGTGCCAGTGCTCCGCTGTTGGGAGTGTGTGCCAGTGCTCCGCTGTTGGGAGTGTGTGCCACTGCTCCGCTGTTGTTGGGAGTGTGTGCCAGTGCTCCGCTGTTGGGAGTGTGTGCCACTGCTCCGCTGTTGTTGGGAGTGTGTGCCACTGCTCCGCTGTTGTTGGGAGTGTGTGCCAGTGCTCCGCTGTTGGGAGTGTGTGCCACTGCTCCGCTGTTGTTGGGAGTGTGTGCCACTGCTCCGCTGTTGGGAGTGTGTGCCAGTGCTCCGCTGTTGGTGGGAGTGTGTGCCACTGCTCTGCTGTTGGGAGTGTGTGCCACTGCTCCGCTGTTGGGAGTGTGTGTTACTGCTCCGCTGTTGGGAGTGTGTGCCACTGCTCCGCTGTTGGGAGTGTGTGCCAGTGCTCCGCTGTTGTTGGGAGTGTGTGCCACTGCTCCGCTGTTGGGAGTGTGTGCCAGTGCTCCGCTGTTGGGAGTGTGTGCCAGTGCTCCGCTGTTGGGAGTGTGTGCCACTGCTCCGCTGTTGTTGGGAGTGTGTGCCACTGCTCCGCTGTTGGGAATGTGTGCCAGTGCTCCGCTGTTGGTGGGAGTGTGTGCCAGTGCTCCGCTGTTGGGAGTGTGTGCCACTGCTCCGCTGTTGGGAGTGTGTGCCAGTGCTCCGCTGTTGGGAGTGTGTGCCAGTGCTCCGCTGTTGTTGGGAGTGTGTGCCACTGCTCCGCTGTTGGGAGTGTGTGCCACTGCTCCGCTGTTGTTGGGAGTGTGTGCCACTGCTCCGCTGTTGGGAGTGTGTGCCAGTGCTCCGCTGTTGGGAGTGTGTGCCAGTGCTCCGCTGTTGGGAGTGTGTGCCACTGCTCCGCTGTTGGGAGTGTGTGCCACTGCTCCGCTGTTGTTGGGAGTGTGTGCCACTGCTCCGCTGTTGTTGGGAGTGTGTGCCAGTGCTCCACTGTTGGGAGTGTGTGCCAGTGCTCTGCTGTTGGTGGGAGTGTGTGCCAGTGCTCCGCTGTTGGGAGTGTGTGCTACTGCAGCCACTATGGGAGCTTACTTGGGGAATGCTGAGAGTATTGGTTTATTTTTAAAATTTTATCTTTTAACTGTGTTTGAATTGAAGAGAGAGAGTGTGGAGTAGAGGGAGAGAGAAAGAGAGAGAGAAAAAAATATGGAAGAATGACTCCTGCATATACTGGTTCACTCTCCAAATGCCCATTATTAGCCAGGTCTGGTCCAGGGTGAAGTCTGGATCTAGAACCTCATTTGGGCCTTCCACATGACTGACTGAGACACAATGAGAAATTATAATGTAAAAATGCGAAAGCGGGAGTATTAAATAGATGTTGTGATAACATGACCTAAGTTAAAAAAGTCTTACTTAGTAATATAGAATTATCGGATGTGTTCTACTTTTTAAATAGTGAAATGAGAAAGGAATTACAGTGATTGTTTTCACTTTATTTAAGGTGAATATTAGAAGAAAGGATTAATGGGCATGCCACCTAATATAAGTACATTTTCGTCTAGCTAAAACCTCTGCAGCATGTTCCAGGAATGGTTAGTTCCATCTTGTCTGAGCATAGCAGTCTTAGTTGTAAGAGATATGTGGATGTTTTTGAAATAACAACATCTTCAGGATGTTATGATTTCATGAAATGAGTATAAATGAAAGAAATTATAAGTTTTTTCTCCGTAGCATTTGTTGTTTTTTTTTTTTTAATTTTTATTTAATAGTTATTCTACCTGCAGTCAGGACACCTCATGTTGGTTTTAATTTCATTTCCGTTATGGCTAGTGATACAGGGCATTTTTTTATGTGCCCATTAGCCATATATATATATATATATTTTATCCTTCGAAAAATGTTTAATTTTTTAATCAAATTATTAGAGGAAATAGGGAACACTGTACAAGATATAGGTACAGGCAAAGGCTTCTTGGAAAAGACACCAAAAGCGCAAGCAATTACAATCAAAATAAGCTAATGGGATTACATAAGACTAAGAAACTTCTGTACCAGGAAAGTGGTCAGTGAATTGAGGATGCAGTCAACAGAATGCAGTCAGCACATATCCAATACTCACAAAGAGCTCCAGGTACTCAATGGTAAAAACCAAATAGCCTTATTAAGAAATGGGCAAAGGAAATGAAGAGATATTTCTCAAAAAATGAAATTAAAAAAGCTAATACCTGGATGAAAAAAATGCTCCCTGGGTGTTAAGGAAATGCAATTAAAAACCACAGTGAGAATCCATCTAACTCCAGTGAGAATTGCTCACATAAGAAAAATCAGCAAACAACAGTTGTTGGTGAGAATGTGAGGAAACGACCCCAATCCACTGTGGTTTAGAAAGTAAATTGCCTTGGAAGTCAGTATGAGTAGTGCCCAGACCACTAAGAATTGGTCTGAACGTGGCTAAGGCATCCCGCTCCTGGGAATAAGTCCAAAGGAACCGGAATCTGCATTTAGAAGAGTGACTTTCAATCCTAGATTTGTAGCAGCACAATTTTCAATAGTGAAGACAGGAGATAAACTCAGATGCCCATTGAAAGAGGACTGGATAAAGGTACATCTACTCAATGGAATACTACTCATCCATAAAGAAGAATGAAATCTTGCTGTTAGCAACATAATGTTCAGCTGGAATCCATGCTGGGAAAACTAAGCCAGTCTCAAAATGACAACTATCATGTATTTGCCCTGATAAAAACTGATATGAGAGTTAATTTGCCAAGCACAGAAAATGCTTGTATACTGTATGCAAATATATACATAGGTACATATGGCTATGTTAATGGCTTGTTCGAGTGAGACAAGCCTACTGGGAAGTCAGGTGCCAGTAAGTGACTTTACTCCTGAATAAAAGCAGGACTCCCAAATGAAACTCATGAATATCCCTCTGTATTACAATACTAGGCTTTCTACCTTTGCCTGTGCTTATCATGTCATGATACACTTAAATGTCAGAAAGTTAAACTTGTAACTCATTACTAGGGAGCTATAATGTAGTGATAATAGGGGGGATAAAGGTGGGAGGGGAAAAAAGCTATATGATATCTATATGTATGTATAAACTATTTTTTCCTAAAAGCAGGCATATTAGTGTCACAAAATATGACAGTCATGACAACAGTGATAAAGTGAAAAAAAAACCCTCACATATTGTCACATTTCAGTGAAGTAACATTTTTATACCTAATAGTATGACATTGACACCGTGTTTGTGTTGTTTTCCTGTGAGATGAGAGAACGTGCCTGGCATGACTTGCTCCATTTAGCAGAGTGATCACTAGGCTTCCTAATACTTGTGTTGATATCTGTTTCAATTTTGGATTTCTAATTATTATTTTCAGAGAAATGGTTAATTAAATACTTAATTTAGTAACATTTAATAAGCAGTAATTGTTCAGTGTCCAGTCACATTTTAATCCACAATAGATGGCATTTACTTGTGGTCCTTCCTGTAAGATTAGAGTATTTCAAAATTTTCATGGAAAGAGGGAATTAAAATCTAAGTTAGTTTTTGGTGTAAAAAATAAATAAGATTATTTATGGAATTATGTTTGTAGAATTACTGCAATATGAGTATTCCTCCAAACTATATGTGACTTTCCATTTCTTTTTACATGAAAGTAAGCTTATCTTTTAATGGAATTTTCCATAAGCTTGATACTCTACCTTTGCAGGTTGCGTAGTGATCCTGTGGCTGTTACTGCACAGCAGTATCCTGTGTGATGGCCACAGGACAGGAAATCCACGTCCTTCAGAATGTGTCTCCATGGTTAAACGATAAATGACTGTGACTGCTTTGGTTTTAAAACCTTTCAAATTAGTTTTTCAATAGACTGTCTTCTCAAAATGCTTAGTTTTTTTTTTCTAATGAAAGTGCGATAATAATATGAATGTCAGAATTGTGTAGTATACAGCTTTTAATAGAATTTTTAGACACTGATATAAGAAACCTAGGAATAGTCATAGCTAATATGTAAATTGTTACTGAGAAGGTGGACATAGGCATAGTTCTTTCCATTTTGCAGGGTCAGCTAATTTTAATATGCAAATTGCATGTTTATTTTATCCTATTTCTTGATTGTGAATTTTATGTTTTATGTGTATGTACATATTAAACTTTTTTGTTTGTTTTCAGTTACCTGCCATGGTTTGAAGTATATTACAAGCTTCTAAATACTCTGGCAGATTACTTGGCTAAGGAACTGGTAAGCCATGTTTTTCCTCTCTTTTGTTTTTGTGGTAAACTATGCATAACAACATCTACTAGTTTAGCCATTGGACAGTAACTGCCCATTTTCCTCCTCCTTTTTTCCTTGAAATATTGCATGTACCGCCTCCCTGTAAGAGCCTGACTGTTCTAAGTACTTCATATAAGTGGCATCATTTGATATATGCTTTTATAACTGACTTATTTCATTTAGCATTATGTCTTAACATTTCCATTTTATAGCATATGTCAGAATATCCTTCACTGTTAAGGCTGAATAATATTCTGTTACATGTATTTGGTTATGAACTATATATAGATTATAAAGGTACTTAGTTTGCATCTGCAGTTTAGCTGTTGCAAATAATGCTACTAAGAAGGTAGTGACACGACAGTGTTACAGATGGTGACTTAACTGGCTCCAAGTTATACTTGAAAATAAGCTACTATGAAAATTGAAACTAATGAATTAAATAAATAAGCCAAAATATTTCATATATTCACGTAATATCGTAATAAAGAATACTTACCTGGCAGGAGAGAACCACGATCACAAAGGTGGCTTTCCCTGGCGAGGCTCCCCCGTTGCACCCGGATGTGCTGACCCCTGCCCCGTTGCACCCGGATGTGCTGACCCCTGCCCCGTTGCACCCGGATGTGCTGACCCCTGCCCCGTTGCACCCGGATGTGCTGATCCCTCCCCCGTTGCACCCGGATGTGCTGACCCCTGTCCCTGTTGCACCCGGATGTGCTGACCCCTGTCCCCCGTTGCACCCGGATGTGCTGACCCCTGTCCCTGTTGCACCCGGATGTGCTGACCCCTCCCCCATTGCACCCGGATGTGCTGATCCCTCCCCCGTTGCACCCGGATGTGCTGACCCCTGTCCCTGTTGCACCCGGATGTGCTGACCCCTGCCCCGTTGCACCCGGATGTGCTGACCCCTGTCCCTGTTGCACCCGGATGTGCTGACCCCTGTCCCCGTTGCACCCGGATGTGCTGACCCCTGTCCCTGTTGCACCCGGATGTGCTGACCCCTCCCCCGTTGCACCCGGATGTGCTGATCCCTCCCCCGTTGCACCCGGATGTGCTGACCCCTGTCCCTGTTGCACCCGGATGTACTGACCCCTGCCCCGTTGCACCCGGATGTACTGACCCCTGCCCCCGTTGCACCCGGATGTGCTGACCCCTGCCCCGTTGCACCCGGATGTGCTGACCCCTGCCCCGTTGCACCCGGATGTGCTGACCCCTGCCCCTGTTGCACCCGGATGTGCTGACCCCTGTCCCTGTTGCACCCGGATGTGCTGACCCCTGTCCCTGTTGCACCCGGATGTGCTGACCCCTACCCCGTTGCACCCGGATGTGCTGACCCCTGTCCCCGTTGCACCCGGATGTGCTGACCCCTCCCCCGTTGCACCCGGATGTGCTGACCCCTGTCCCCCGTTGCACCCGGATGTGCTGACCCCTGTCCCCGTTGCACCCGGATGTGCTGATCCCTCCCCCGTTGCACCCGGATGTGCTGACCCCTGTCCCCGTTGCACCCGGATGTGCTGACCCCTGCGATTTCCCCAAATGTGGGAAACTCGACTGCGTAATTTGTGGTAGTGGCGGACTGAGTTCCCGCTCTCCCCTGTAAAAATAAAAAAAATCCTAATAAAAATGACTTTTAGGATTAGTGTATAGTTATTTGGTATTTTTAATCAAAATTGTCTAGAATTAATTGTTCATTATACTAAGAGTATATAAAGAAATAACAGTTCTATTGCTTTGGCAGCACTTTAATTCATATTAAAGTCATGTTTAAATATATTTTTGAATTAAGTAAAGTGGTGGGTAAGGAGGAAATGTGAAAAAAAGTCTCTTAGTTTATGTAAACTTAAAGTAACTCTTGTTTTTGTAGAGTAATCAATTTTCATTCTTTTTTTGAGTGAAATAAAAATATTTATTGATTATCAAAATCAAAATGTATAAGCAGAGCTCAATTACATTTTTTTCCACTCACAATGGGAGAGAAAGTACAGATTGCACCTCAAAGAAAGATTTTAAGACACACGGCCTGATTCTGATACACAATGATATTCCTTGTGTGAATTTCTTTTTTTTCTTTTTTTAAAAGATATTTATTTTTATTACAAAGCCAGATATACAGAGAAGAGGAGAGACAGAGAGGAAGCTCTTCCATCCGATGATTCACTCCCCAAGTGACTGCAATGGCTGGTGCTATGCCGATCCGAAGCCAGGATCCAGGAACTTCCTCCAGGTCTCCCACAAGGGTGCAGGGTCCCAAAGGCTTTGGGCCATCCTCGACTGCTTTCCCAGGCCACAGCAGGGAGCTGGATGGGAAGTGGAGTTGTCGGGATAATAACCGGCGCCCATATGGGATCCTGGTGCGTTCAAGGCGAGGACTTGAGCTGCTAGGCCATGGCACTAGGCCCCTTGTGTGAATTTCTTTACAATTTGCTGATATGGTCAAAGCATTTTTACACATATATCGGACTTTTACAGCCTTCTCTCTTTATAATCCTTTTTAAAAATAGTAAATTCATTTCATTTTTTATGGTGTTTACGTAGTTGAGAGGGATCTTGTCCATGTGGACCACCAGTTAGGGTGGGGAGGGTCGAGGAATGGGAGAAAGTGAATGAGACAACCGCCTTCCTTCTCCTTTTCTCTTCTGGTACCTGGGAAGGGGGTAGCTAGAGGGATGAGGGCTGCTTCCAGCAGCCTAACCACATTTTAAGATTTATTTATTTGACATGAAAGTGCTGTAGAAAGGGAAAAGGAATGATAGAAATTTTCCTTCTGCTGGTTCATTCCCCAAATGGCCACAGTGGACAGAGCTGAGTCAATCCAAAGCTGGGCCATAAGCCTTTTCCAGGTCTCCTGTGGCTGGGCCAACCTGTGCTGCTTTCCCAAGCTGTTAAGTAGAAGCTGATCAGAAGTAGAGCAGCCAGAGCTAGACCCCGTACCTCTATGGTACCACGGCTGCAGGCTGAGGGTCAGCTACTGTGCCGGTTATGTCAGTCCCAATTGTTATTCTTAGCGTGTTCAAATCAATAGCGACTTACACTGGTTCCAAGCATGGCAGAATGTGCTCACTTTAGAATTAGTTATCATAGCTTCTATGTCCCTACAGTAGCAGAATGTCATCCTTAGGAATGAAAAGTATAACTAATTGACGATATAATCTGATTGAATGCTTAGAATATTGGAATTAAGTTTTCTTTAATACTCTCCTGTGACTTTCATCAAAATGTAATATCTATACAGTAGGTAAACAGTTCTTCCATCTGAAAATGAAAGTTCAGAAGCTTTTAAAACTTATTTAATGATATGTAAATCTGCCACTAACAAAGGTGTTTCTATTACCCTTATAGTGAATTTGTTTATAGCATGTCAATAAACTAGAAGTGCTACAACAGCAGGTTTTACAGTGTTTGTGAATGTGTATGCAGATGAGTTGCTCTTTGCATTTGGTTGCTTAAATCTGTGAAATTGACATCAAATAATCATTTTATACTCAAACAATTTTAAGTAGAGCTGTTGTCACTCAATTCCAAAGAAAGGAAATAGGTGCTGGACCTTTGGCTTACCGTGTTGAGATGATGCCTGCTTCACCTCTTTGAGTCTTGGTGGCTTTCCATCCTATCCGGCTCCCTCTGTGAGGCCACCACGGAGGATGGCCCAAGTAGTCGCATCCACATGGGAGACCCAGAGGAAGCTCCTGGCTCCCGGCTCCTGACTGGCCCAACCCTGGCCGTTTCAGACCTTGTACGGAATGAACCAGAGGATGAAATATCTCTCTCTGCCTCTCTCGCTGTGCAACTCTTTCAAATAAATAAGTCTTTTTTTTTTTTAAGGAAAATAACAGAATAAAGCTATGGATTTTTTTACAATGAAAACTCTGAATTACAAATATCCTATGATGATAAATGCATTGTTTATTCAAATTTTGAATACTTTGGTAATTTATGGAATATTATACTAAATACTAAATAGTATTATACTGTTTTCAAAGCTGCCAGTACTACTATATGCAAAAACCAATAGTTTTGAGCTAATCCCTGTAATTTTGGCTTTCCAACAAGAGAAATTAAGGGAAATAACATATTGTTAGTTTATAGTTTTAGTTAAATAACCAAAAGTAGATTTATAACAGTAATTCTTTCTTTTCTTCCTATTGTCACTTCAGTTTTATAAGCTGTTTAGGGTGATATTAAGATACATTTTGTGTATTTTATAACTCCTCGCAGGTCTTCCATGTAGCAGGCAGGAAGTCAAGTACTTGAACCATCCTCTGCTGCTGCATCCCAGGCTCATAAGGGCAGCACCAGGTGGATTGGAAGTGGAGTAGCTAGGACTTGAATCTGTGCTCCAAGATGGCACGTGGGACATTCAAAGCAATACCAAAGCTATATCAAAACACTTAACCCCTCATGCATAATTTTCTATGTTGAATTTCGATGTTTAAAAGGCCAAGAGAAAAATTGCTTATATATAATCTTTCATTTTGAAAAGAATTTTGGGTAGACAATTTTGAGTGTATACTTTTTCAGGAGACCCAATTTATTAAATTTTAATTTAAATTTATAGCCAAATTATATAGGAAGAATCGCAAGAATTATATAACTGATATCTAGTTTCTCTATAACTTATTATGTCCATCCTTATACAGTTGTCTTTTTCTTTCTGTTATGCATCCATCAAAAAAATTCAGAGAAATTAAGAATGGTGATTTTGTAGGTCAGCTTTCTGCAGTATTACTGGTTTCTGTGTTAAGACATAGAAAAAGTGAGATGTATATCAAGGTACATTATTATGATGCAAATCCTAAAGTAGATTTGCTGTATATTTTATCTACTTCTGTTTGTTAACGATCGAGTAGTGACTGGCAGTTACGTAGCAAAGGAATACTTAAAACACTTGAATAAAAGGTGGATCCCCAATGAAGCTGTTAAATACATCTTGGCAATAGGATGCTGGACTTTCTATCATGATACAGTTTAATGGAAGAATGATGGACTTGGGACTGTTGCTGAAGGGCTATACTGTTGTAGTAACATATGGGAGAGCGGTAGGCGAGTGAGGGGAGGTGGAGGGTGGGAGGGGAAAGCCATGGGCCTATGGAATTGCAACATGAAAAAAAAGTAATATTTAAAATAGCTTCTACATTGTGCAGTAGTTTTAAAGTGCTATCTGTTCTTCAAAAATTAGTTTTGATACTTTAAGACAAAAATGGGAAAAATGCTCTAGATCTTATAAAAACATGTTGCTACTTTTATTCCATCTCTTTGTTCTTCATGATTTAGGATATTTGCTAGTTTAGCATTGACATATTTTATAATAATTTTCCACATATTTGTTAATACTTTAAAAATTATTTTAATTATTTTCTATGATACTGTTTGGTAGGTAGAGATTCCCCTTTCCTACCTTTTCTCCCTCTCCGTTCTCCTCTCCCTCCATCCCTCCCCCATTATTACAGTAGTGTAGTCCAGTTACAGGTTTAGCATTCTGCTATTGAAGTGTATCATAGAATTGTGGATATAGACAGAGGTAGACAATCTAGCATCATATTTAACTGTTTCACTGGAATCCTCCTAACACTTAATGAAGCGTTACTATGTTTATGCAGAGTTTTAAATATGTTTTCTGTATTAACTTTATTCAGATACTTCAGTTTGAATTATTTGAGATGCTTCTGTGGTTAGTAGTTAGATAAAATGCATCTTCAGGAAAAAGCACAATGGATTTTGTCATGTAGCTTTTTTTAAGGTGAGTGATGTTTCACCTTTCCTTCCCTGCAGTCCTTGCCTCCACCCTCCCTTCTCTTTCCTTGTTTTTTTATCGTCGAAAAGTTTGACTGCATTATTTACACATACACATCTTTTATAAAACATGCTTTTTCTTTCATTCTAGGAGGATGATTTGAATGAAACTCTTGCGTCTCTGTATAACCACCCAGTACCAAAGGCCAACACTCCTGTCAATTTGAGTGTGGTAAGTATTAAATCAGCAATTATTTCTTCAATTCGTAGCAATATCTCAGTTAAGATCTCTTAAACTTACAAAAAGTCCTTTTCCAGTTCTGCCTCCATGAAAAGTTCAATACTATTACGACTAGCATAACTAGGTGATAATATGCTATAACTCTCATAATTGTGGATATAAATTAGGTGTGTGTTTTGGTAGTTGCTAAATTATAGAATCAGAAAATTATGTTATGTATTAAAGGTAACCAAATTTTGTGGATTTTTTTGCGAGAACATTGAATTTCAGGAAAGTAAATGCCTCATATAGGAACACAGACACGTTCATACACATTGCCCAGCTACAACGTGTGCAGCACTGGATTAGAGCAGGAGTAGCAAATGGTTAAAATTCTGAGTCAAACATTCCTTTTCCCCATAAGCTTCAGTACATAATATGGAGCCGTAGAAATATGATTGCAGTTCCTCATGTGGTTATTTACACTTACAGTTATCCATGGAGTGTGGTCATTATATCTAAATCCACATTCCTATTTTGGGGAATTTTGTAAGTATTCAAAGTTTAAGATGCTAAAGCATAGATTTTGGTCCAGGCACAATTGTTCAATTGGTTAAATCTTGACCTTGCAAGCACAAGGATCTCATATGGGTGTGAGTTTGTGCCTCACTTACTCCACTTCCCATCCAGATCCCTGCTTGAGGCCTCAGGAAGCAGTAGAAAATGGCCCAAAGCCTTGGGACCCTGCACAAGTGTGGGAGACCCAGAAAAGGTTACTGGCTCCTGGCTTAGGAGATCAGCTCAGCTTCACTGATTGCGACTATCTAGGGAGTGAACCAGCAATGGAAGATCTTTCTCTGTCTCTGCTTCTCTTTGTAAATCTGCCATTCCAGTAAATACAAATGGATCTTAACAAGCTGAAACACAAAGAACAAGAAGTAGCATGTGCTTCAAAGAGGGCACATGTACCGTGCAGGGGGTAGTCCACTAATGTTCTTCATGAATTGAGCACACACAATAGGCTAGAATTTTTCACCAGTATTTGGAATCACTAGCAGATAAAATGATACAAACAGCAAAGAAAGAGCAGAGCACTCAGTGGGGACTAAGCCCCAGCAGGCTTTGTGGAAGCACCGGCAAAGGATGAGGAGGGAAGCAGGTGAGAACAACAGATTCTTAGATCGCTTGAAAAAGGTAGGGTTTGTGTTTAGGAGAAATGAAGCAGAAAAGCCAGAGACAATGAAGAAACAATCTGAATTTTTCAAGAAGTAGTGATTTTTGTAAAAGCCTTGTATTTGTTAATTGAATCTAATGTTTGTTAAAGAATTAACAAAAACACATTCCAGTAGGGGGCAACTGTTGTCCAGTGTTAATGAGAAGTAAAAAATATATCTCTGTGCTCAAAATTCAAGCATTTCTCTGCTCAGGATTGCATAGATATCCTATAAAAGATGTCTCAAAAATATCTGGAAATTCAATGTGCAGACATAGTGCACTGTGTCTCTGCAACCAGACCAAATGTGAACTTCCAATGTAACAATTGAAAATATCCTGACAATGGGATGCTGGAGTCTCAGACATTGTCCATGCCTGCAGTGTCAGGAAACCCTTCAATAGCTAATGATGGATTTATGACTGTTCTTGAAGAATCGCCCTTATAATATTAGAGGGGAAATCGATAGGCGAGGAGAACACTTGAGAGCCTGTGGAACTGTGTCATGAAACAGTAATCAATAATAATTTAAAAAGTACCTGGACATTGACACTTCACTTTTATTAGTAAGAATCATAAATTAATGACTTCTAGGTGTTTCTCTTTAATAAAGATAGAATTTACATTTAAGTAAGTCATTAAATATGTGATGATGTTAAACAAAGGGAAAAAAGTTGATTATTCTTTGTTTCCATTTGAGACATTTTCGAGAAAGCTGTTAGGGTAATCACATGACACAATGTACCTCGATATACCGTCGGCTGCTTTCAAAGTGCTGCTTGTTGGTGAATTGAAGCTTTGCCTCTAATGGGCAATATATTTTTCATAAGTCTGAAATAATCTTCTTAAAGGAATTTGAGTAATTACATTCTATTTTAGTAGGAATTTTAGAAAAATTCAGAGAAAATGCATATCATGAAAAAGCTACGAAAGGATTTAACATTTTCATACCAAAAAGCCACTTATTTTTAAAATGTATTTTCCTTGAACTTTTGAAATATTCCAGTATATATGATAACTGCTTTAATAATTAAGCTTGGCTCTAGTTCTTATAGATTTTTTAAAATAAATTTTATTTTCTTCTAAATTGGTATCTACTTGTAGCTGTTTCTGGGTGGATGATGTTTCAATAATGTGTGTGATTGTGCTATGATCAGATCAGAGCAATTAGCATTTCCACCGGGATAAACATTGTCATCTCTTTGTGAGGAGAACATTTAAAATTCTCTGTTGCAGCGATTTTGAAATGTACATCATTGTTTGCCATAGTTGCCCTGTTGTACACTGTAACACCAAAACTTGTTGCTCCTGTCTGTCTCACTGTGGCTTGGTAGTCTCCACCATAGGTGTGTATTACACCTTAAAAATTTATTGATTAGCTAAGGAGTGACTAGTTTGATTCCATGTCTATGCTAGTATGAAAGTGCTACAATACACATGAGAATACCAATAACTCCATTATACTGATTTTGTTTTTTGGTTTTTTTTAAAGATTTATTTATCTTTTGGAAAGTCAGATATACAGAGAGGAGAGACAGAGAGGAAGATCTTCCATCTGATGATTCACTCCCCAAGTGAGCACAACGGCCGATGCTATGCCGATCAGAAGCCAGGATCCAGGAACTTCTTCCAGGTCTCCCACGTGGGTGCAGGGTCCCAAGGCACTGGGCCGTCCTCGACTGCTTTCCCAGGCCACAAGCAGGGTGCTGGATGGGAAGTGGAGCTGCCGGGATTAGAACTGGTGCCCATATGGGATCCCGGCGTTCAAGGCGAGGACTTTAGCTGCTAGGCTGAGCCGCCAGGCCCTGATTTTGTTTCTTTAGCTAGATACCCAAGCAGGGATTCCTGAATCATATGACTGTTCTGTTTTAATTTTTGGTTTTAGCAACCTCCCAGATGTTCCCCATAACAACTGTACTACTTTAGCTTGCCACCAATATTGTGTAGGAGTTTGCCTTTCTGCACATCCTTTCAGCACGTGTTTGTGGTATTTCTGATAATAGCTGTTCTAACTGGGTTAAGTGACAACGCCATGTGGTTTTGATGTTAACTGCTTTGATAATAATGATTGAAGTTCAGTGTTTTGATGTAAACCTGTTGGACAATTAGATTTTTGAATAAAAGCTGTGTTAACTTTCAAATATTGTACTTCATTCTCAAGCCTCCGTATTTATCTTAAGTATTGCCAAAGTCAGGTGGTTAGTTTTGTGTCAATTTCGTTAGTAATTTCTGCAGGTGACTGTAGCAGTGTGCCCCATCCCCTGTTAGAGAGGAGTAAACCGAGGGCTGGGACACTTTTCCTACCACTAGCAGAGATGTTTGGTTTTATGATGCCAATTTTTTTAAAGATTTATTTATTTTTATTGGAAAGGCAGAAAGAAGGAGAGACAGAGAGGAAGATCTTCCGTCTGATGGTTCACTCCCCAAGTGAGCACAACGGCCAATGCTATGCCGATCCGAAGCCAGGATCCAGGAACTTCTTCCAGGTCTCCCACGTGGGTGCAGGGTCCCAAGGCACTGGGCCGTCCTCGACTGCTTTCCCAGGCCACAGGCAGGGAGCTGGGTGGGAAGTGGAGCTACCGGGATTAGAACTGGCACCCATATGGGATTCTGGCACGTTCAAGGCGAGGACTTTAGCCACTAGGCCACACCGCCGCGCCCTTCTAATGCCAAATTAAAACTGAGGATCACAGAAGGTTTTGTTTCTACACAAGTGAATAGTGGTCACTGGAATATCAGATTTTATGAGAAGTTTAAAAATAGTCATTCTTTCAAGATATATTTCAAAATCGTTAAACAGCTATGCTATTCTTTGCTCTCAAAACATGAAATAATTTTTTTCGGGTTTTTGGTATGATATTTGGAAAACAGCATTTAAATTAACATTTGTAATAATAACAATCAAGAATTTTTAGTGACTATTAAAGTTACATTTGTATCACATACATAGCCAATTTTCATATAACTGTCCCCCCAAAAGTAAAATGCTCATTTTTCTCTCATATGTTATAAGAACCAAGATATATTTATTGCCAGTGAGCAAGCTTTGAAAGATCAGCCCTCGTTAGCACCGGTGAGTTAAAAGGACATTAACTTTTAAAAATCACTACTAATTTGGGAAAATCATTTCTTGATTTCCTTTGATTTTAAGATATAGTTTAGTCCTTTGGGAAATGGTAAATTTGGGTCTTTAAGCAAAATCCTTTGGCATATATTTTCTGTTTATATTACCTTAATTTTAAGGCAAAGTTCAATGAAGAGCAGTACTGTTAAAACCTTCCCAAATAACAATAGTGAATGGAGACCAGATTTGTGCATGTTCTCCATTTTCAGCAGCAGCACTGTTAATGTGCATCCACATCGTGAAATTTTCATCATATTCTCGATCGCATGACCTCAAGACATGTAGTTATTAATCCTGTGTTACTCTACCCTTGAAAACTCTACCACATCTATGTTAACCAACCTTGTTTGGATGAGTCAGTTCTCAAATACTTCCAGTGCTCAAGTGTGAAGCCATTTAAAATTTATGTTTGTGTGATTGGGATATTAAATCTATCTTTGATACTAATATGAACAGAAAATAAAACATCTTCTGGTGATTACATTGCGCTTTGATTTGGGAGCACTGTGGGACACATGAATGCATGTGGACAAGAAGCTTTCTACATAAATCTTTGCATGAGTCATGGTTTTGCTTCGGATGTCGCAGGATCATACTTTGGAAGACACACAATGCTTTGAGAAGTTTCAAACTCTTAAACATGATTTCATTGCTGCTTTCTAAATGACACAATGGGTAATGTTGACCAAAGCGATTGTTCACTGTTTGCTATAGAAACTCAAGAACCTTCAAAGATTTTGATATATATTTTTGGGTTAGGAAGTTTTATGTTTTAGGTTACGTAAACTGAAAATAATTTTAGGTTGTGTATATTCATATAATTAGATACTTTACTTATATTGTGTGTTTGTGATTGAATAAGGTGTTTGATAATGTATGTGTTTGTAAAATTTTGTGCTTTATCCTCTTTTACCTTAAAGCGTTTCCAGGATTCTTATTTCATTTTGGGTCAATTTTAAATGACCTATTTTTAATTTACACTTAACTGTCTTTAGGGGAAAAGTATTAAATCTCATGTAAACCTGCTATCTTATTCAACAGTCTCAAATTCAACAAATTCAAAGTATCAGACTATGGTGTTCATCAAGTTAATCAATGCCTTCTTTTCATCTCCAGTTGCATGTATTGCCATAAGATTTTAACTCCTCTTTTATGTGGTTCATTTCTGTTGATTAGCATTCCTTCTTCATTACCCCTGACCTAACTGGACTCCCAACAATACCTGAGAGTGTAAGTTTTCTGTTTTCTACTTTAATTTGTTTTTTTTTTATAAACTCCTATAAGGAGAAATAGAATACATAATAATTGCATGTGTTAGTGAGAAGTGATGAAGAAAAAAGGAAAAATACTGAAGATCGCTTCATTTTTTTTTTTCTTTTCTTTTCTTTTGTTATCTACCCCTTTATACCTTTCTTAATATCTGGCCATGTTCATGGTAAATTATAAGAGAAAAATGTGTTTCTGTGGTTAGTTTTTATAAATTTTAAGGTTTTAAAGTATTATTTACATAATTGAAAGGGATGCATGCTAATATGTGCCTCTAGTTAGGGTAGGGATGGTCAGGTATGGAGGAAGGTGGATGGGGCAAATGTTTCAGTGGTTTTGTTGTTGTTGTTGTTGTGGTTTGGTTTTTTTTGTCTCTCTTGTGTCCAAAGAGGAGGAAAGGAAAGGAAAGGGGCTTCTCCTTGCTGTTAAACTACATTAGCATCCAGGGAGGGGGCATCGTTTGATGATATCTTAGAAATCCTGTTGTAGGAAAGAGTGTTCCAAGGGTGTTACTTGAGTGGTTTTGATAGTTTTCCTACTGGGATAGATGAGCTGGCTATTATGTTCCCTATGTGCATCTGGGCATGTTGTCCATTGGACAGGCATCAGCAACTGGGAAGGCCTAGTCCTGATACATGCATTCCAAGGTTGCACAACACATCTTATGATTTTTCCCTGTGACTGGGGCTGAGATCAGCAGTTTAGTTGGGAAATTCCCCAGGAAATCTCATCTGTGGTGATCTCAGACTTGAATCTTATGTATGCTAGCCAGTGCAGTGTCAGTTTCAGTCTGTCACCTGCACCAACCAATGCATATACCAATGGAAGCAGCTGGCTGTTCAGTTCAGCCCCATCTCCATATCTTATGTGAATTGAGGGGAGCTGTAGCTCAGCCCAGCCAGCTCACCACAGGCCACATACCAGTGGATGTGGTGGCCTACTCAGGGCAACCCCCATTAACTCCTACCATGCATGACCCCAGCCCCAATTTTTGTGTGTGCCAGCCTCTACTGCAGCCTAGCTCAGCCCAGCACACATCCCGCCCAGCTCTCATGCATACCTGTGGTATCTGTAGTTTAGCTTTGCCTGCCCTGCCCCCAGACCTGGCTTTCACGTATGCCTACAGGTTCACCACCTTTTCCAGCCTGACCTTCCTAACCACCCTTGTTCTCATGCTTATCAATGATAGGTATAACCTAGCAGAGAAGTACCTGCAGTTCCCTTGCAAGGCATGCTCCTAACCCAGAATCTTGTGCCTGCTGAAGGGCACTGCAGTCAAGCCTTACATAACCTGCACCCAGTCCTGGCACTTGCCAGCTGGTGTTGTAACTCAGCCTGGCTGGCCTGCACCCATTCTGGTTCTTATGCACATGAGCAGGTACAGCAGCTTAGAACAGCCTAGCTCAGCCTAGCCAGTCTAACATAGCTTATCACAGTCTAATGCACCCCCGTCTTAGCTTTCACACTCACCTATGGAAACTATGGTCCACCAGGGGAACCCAGAGAGTTCCCCTACCAGTCCTGTTCCCAGTCTTGGGTCTTGGCACATATTGGCAGGTGCTGCCACTCAGCCTGGCCTGGCCTGCCAGTAGTCTCAGCTTCTTCCTGGTTGGTATTGCTGCCTATCCCAGCTGGTGTGGCTCATGCCCTCTCCTGGTTCTCATGCATGCCAGAGAGTCTTGTGCCTGGCACAGCTCAGCCTTTCCCCGGATCTGGCCCACACAAATGCTGCTCCCCTGCCTGACCTGACCCACCCTCACCTCTGGCTCTTGTGCTCCCCAGTTGGGGTGTGGCTTAGTAGTTGAGTTCTCAAAGTTTTCCTATCAGGCCTGCCCTAATTCCTGGATCCCATGCATGCCAGTGGGTGCAGCATGGTCTGTCTCAGTCCAGGCTTTTGCGTTTGTCAGTGAGTGCTGCATTCTGGCCCCACCCAGACTTTACACATTCCAGGCTCCCACAAGAATGAGCTGAGTTTCTGTCAGGTGAGTTTTGTGGTCCATCACAGCTCAGTCCATCAGCTGTCCACGTAAACCAGTGGGTGGTATAGTCCCACAGAGGTGAGCTCGCAAGTCATATTCTGGTGGGTGCTGAGGCCCAGCCTGACATTGCTTATACCCTGCTGGAACGGTCATAGGCAGGTGCTGTGGTCTAGCCCAGCCAGGCATACCCTCACAGCCCCAGCTTTTGTATGTGCCAGTGGGACAAGGGAAATACTATTTAGTTTAGTCCAAGCTTCCTACATGGGTGAGTGTCTTGGCCTGACCCAGACAATGCCTTCCAGTTTGTCCCCACTGAAGTACTCTGTCTCATCTCCCTCACCTACCTGTATGTGCAGTGGCCCAGTCTGTGGAAGATGCCAGTGGTCATTTCCACTTTGTATAACATGCCCTATGCCAATTTCCTTCAAATATGTCCACAGACCCCTTTCTCTAGGCAAACTTCAGCTCCCTGCGGGGACCAGGGCAGCATGTCCTTGCTTGGCATTTGCTGCCTCCCCACATGTCTATAATAAATAGATACGTAAATAGGCAACTATGCTGTTACACTGTCATTGCTAACGTAATTAGGTGTTAACCAGGCTGAGAAGGACCATTCATATTCAGTCAGAACCTGTACTCCCCAGTGTCTGGTCAAGCAGATCTCAGCAGAAGAATTCCAGCAACTGGAAACATCTTTACACAAGTCATTGCTTTAGTGAGCCAGCAGGAATATTTTAGATTCCTTGCATATTAGTATTCAAATGTTAGATATCCTTTATTTCTTGAATTTAATTCACAATAGTACATCTGTTGTAAGATGACAAAGAATTGTAAGAAATTAAGACATTGCAGAATTTTACATTTTTTAGAGTCTTAATTGTATCTATATTAGAATTATTTTCAGTGTTTCACTAGTTATTGGAAGCTAATGTTTTGTAGAGAAGCTTATATAGGTAAGTAAATGAAGTAGCATAATACATTTTGATTACTCTGTGAAAAGGGACTGTTTTCTTGTATAATTTCTCTGTAGCTCCATTTGGAAAGTTAAAATAAATCTGTAGAAATAATTCATTCCAAGGTGAGAGGAGATTTATCAGAAGCAGTATTCCAGATATGCATAGCATTGCTGCAGAGTCCTACCATTTTCTCAAATATGTTTTGAAACCTATTAAGTGTTTGCTTTCTGAAAGCACATGGGGAATTAATAATATCCAGGAAGATAATTATAAATTTACTAGTGTCTAACTAGGACCACCAGAGATTATTTTCAAACAGAAGAATCCAGATAACCCCTGTAAAAACACTTTGTACCAAATTTCTCGTAACGTGGGTTTGAAATAGGTCCTCTAAACTGCTGTGTCCTAGGCTCGACTCTGAAGCCTTGCCCGCCATGCATGATGGCCCGGGCACCGTTGAGTTTTCCTTATGCCTGACTGTGTGTTGAGTTGTGTGACCTAGCCAGTTTACCTCAGAGTTTGTAACACAAAGTTAAAACTACTTCCCGCTACTTTTGTCTCCTTTTACATTTCTCTTAAATTGACTAACGTACAACTTGATTTAAGAAATATCTCAGTTTAACAAAGTCCATTGCTTTGAATGTTTTAAATAAACAAGTAGTCGAGGAAAAAACTACCACTGAGAAAATATGATTTTGCATCTTTTTAATTTTTTTTTTTTTTTTTTTTTTTTTTTACTGTGTAGCAAGATTGGGTAGGAAAAGAGGAAACAGGATAAACATAGGCAACCTTTTTGGTTGGAAAACCATTCCTCTTAAAATTAGTCATTTTTGAGATAGAAGAAAAAATATTAATGTTGAAAGCCATAAAAGTGATTTTATACATGAAGAATTGTGCCATGAAGTAGGCTTCCAATAAAGAAACAGAAAGTGAACCTTTCCCCATAAAATTCAGCATTACTCACTGGTAATCACAGATCCTGTTGCTACCAGTGTGTCATGGTAAAGTTTCTATGTTTTGGAAATTGAAGAATCAACTGCTTCCTTTTCTCTTGCCCACCTGAAAGTTCTAGCCTGCAAGCTCATCATCTTCTTGGTACTGTAGTCTGAATTTCTGGGCAATATTAAACCGAGTCTGTTACTTTTTTGCTTTTTGAAGTGCTTAAGTTTGATTATAGAAAAATGTCAGGAAGATGATCTAAAAACCATTTTTAGTGTATCATATGCCTGTTTTGTTTTTTGGGGGAAGATAATTTCAAGTGTTGATGCAAGGATCATCCTTAAAACATCAGCCAAATTACATTTTGTGGTAGTGATATGAAGCAAGCCTGATGTGGGTTATAGACAGTGGATTTGCCTGAATGAAGAGCCAAAGGACTGATAATAAATCCACTTAGTCCTTTGCGTATCTCATTTATAACACCTGATTTCGTGTTTTCCCCCACAAAGTTTATGGCAAACATGGAAAGACTCAAGTGTATTTTTAGCGTAGCAATTTCTCTGACTTTACCATGCACGAGAATCACTGGGTGTGTTCAAAGAGTAGGTTTTTCGGGGGCTGTACCTCAAGATTCTAATTCTCTGAGTCCAGGTGGGGGCCTTGGAAATCAACTTTTTTCAGACACTTTCAAGTGCTCGGAAGGAGGGTCTGTGGAAGATGGGAAAGTGTCATCTCTGATCTCCCTCTGAGAGGCACTTCCTAGAAAAGGGTTATGCTTCAGATAATACTGAAAGGCTACATGCTTTATATGCTGGCAGAATCATTTTTAATTTAATGAATGCCTTTTTAAAAATCATAATATCCTTTGAACTTAATGACTCTTTTGAGTAACTATATAAAATGTTTTCCTTCCTAGTCACCCGGAGCTGTAACTTACACAATTCTTTTTCACTTGTACAGAGAAATCTTACTGAATATTTTGTGGCTGTGGATGTGAACAATATGCTGCAGCTGTATGCCAGTATGCTGCACGAGAGGCGTATCGTCATTACCTCTGCTAAATTAAGCACTGTGAGTACTTCACACTTTCCCTTCCAAGTGGCGTGTATTGAGTGTTTCACAAAAAGACCAAAAAACCTCTGCAGATTTAGAAATGTGTGGTGTGTACTTATAAGACAATTTGTACATACTTTTCAGATATATGGTTTCAATCTGGCTCTTGAAGTACAAAAGTCTGATTTATAGAAGGCCTTCTGAGATGCATTAAGTCAGGTTAATTATTTTTTCTTATCAGAAGATGAGAGTTTCTTTTTCTTTTTAACTCTCCAGAGTTCATTTTAGTGACTTCTACCACAGAAAGAATTCTTAAGAGCTATTATGAGATCTTTATTATTCACTTGTGGCTTTTTCCACTGGAGCTACTTGAAAGAAATCAAGGGGCCATGATAATAGCTGCTATCCTAACCTGCTAATAGATGGATGCATCTTTGTTGCCAAGTAGTGGTTTGGAAGTAGACTCTATAATAGTCCTGATTTGGAGGAGCTCTTCAGTCTGTTAATAACTTAAAAGTCAAAGTAGCCCTTTTATAAAGCACAGGTTTTATCACACTGACTAAAGTGTTCTTTTGGAGGATCTTCATTACTGTGCTAAAGGCAATGAGAAAAGATTTTCTTGGGTCAGACAAAAATATTCAAGAGTGTCTGGTTAGATTTTATAATTTTCTTCTTTATTCATTAAAAATGTAACATTTTCAGTTTTTAATTTTAATATACATTTAAATGTAGTTTTGAATACTCTACAATATTAAGTGCCATTCAATATTGTATGAAGTTGTGTTTCTGCACATTTGTTTAATTGATCAAAATGAAATCATGCTTTTAATGATTTATTTTCCTGTTACAGAAATAGAAACTTTATTCTAGCTTGTTGGAGGAGAAGCAGTCTTAAGGGTTCATTAGGATGTCTCTGTTTAGCACTTGACACTGGGAGTGGTTTAAATGTTCTCTGGAGATCAAATTATTTGGAGTTGGGTTATGTGAAGCTGAGTCTTCTAATTTTTGGGTTATTTGTAATAAAAAAAACCCCACACTTTTGAGAGTTTGCAATGTACTATTGATATGGTCACTTTCCCAAAATACCGAAAGTGCTTTGTGACATAGTGAAAAACCATACCTTTATAGGAAAGGTCTGGAGAAGTAGTAGAGTAACGTCAGAGTAAGCACCTGTAAGTGGCATGGATGATGGTACTTTCTTCCCCATCTCAGAGATGTTGAGGAAATCAGTCTGAATTGTCTGGTACCTTTGTAGTTGCTTTTATAGTATTTCAAGCTTTCCACTAAAGGAGAATCGTTCTTTTTCTTCCTTATTCCTCCTTCTCATTTTTTGCATAGCACTTAAAAATTATAATCAAGTCTATTTCCATATGGATTTTATCCTAAGTATTAAAAAAATATATAGAGAGAGACACTGTCTTATAGGCCTAGGAACTAACTCTTTGCAGGAATAAATAATTGTTTTTTAGGAACATGTGATGTGCCAGGCATATGGATCATGAGTTCACCAATCAGTGAGGCAAAGTCCAGACCATCTTGATTCTTAGACCCACTGATGTGAAGCAGATACAAAACAAAAGTGCATAAATAGCTATGTTGTCATGAGACAGTGAATGCTAAGGGCTGAAGGATAAATTGAGTTTGTCTGTAGGATAGGTGGGGAGGGGCAGGTTACTCAGCCATATGCAATGATCCTGGAAAGGGCTTCATCATGAGTTCATGTTTGAGTTGAGATCTGAAAAAAAATGATGAAGTTAGAGACATAAAGGAAGGACACACTGATTTATCTCACACAGTAGCAGAAATAAATCGGAGGATATGTTTTCTGAAATATTGGTGTTTTGTTTTAATTCATATCTACCTCTTAATGACTTGTGAACTACTCTTTGACTCAGCTTTGTGCTGCATAAATTGAGAATAATAGCAGTCATAATCTCAGAAGATTGTTGTAAAAGTAAAACTAGAGACATATACATACACACACATATGAAGTGCTTACAATGTGCTTTGAGGGAAAAATGTTCCAAGACTCCTAAGTGTAACAGTCTAGATCTGCTGTGTGGTACAAAGAAGTATTGGGACAGTCCTTTAGCTTAATGTTTGACTTTAAAAAGCAGACTAGTTCCTAAAGGCTATTCAGCGACTTCTCCCCTATGTCGATTATGTACTTAATACCATCTGTATATGAAAGTTCATGAAAACCTGACAGTGATGTTGCCTCTAAGTCATCAGATCTATTTTATTTCATATTACTTGGGGGAAGCTGATTAACTTACATCTATCTGAAACAATTATTTTCTTTTTTTTTTTTTTAAAGATTTATTTTTATTATTTTTTCATTGGAAAGGCGGATATACAGAGAGGAGAGACAGAGAGGAAGATCTTCCGTCCGATGATTCACTCCCCAAGTGAGCGCGACGGGCCGATACTATGCCGGTCCGAAGCCAGGAGCCTCTTCCGGGTCTCCCACGCGGGTGCAGGGTCCCAAAGCCTTGGGCCGTCCTCGACTGCTTTCCCAGGCCACAGGCAGGGAGCTGGAAGGGAAGCAGGGCTGCCGGGATTAGAACCGGCGCCCATATGGGATCCCGGGCGTGCTAGGTGAGGACCTTAACCACTTGCGCCACCGCGCCGGGCCCAAACAATTATTTTCTATATGAAGTGCATAAAAATTCATTTGCTTTAAAATCCATTCACAGTAAATAACATGTCAAATCAAGTACTAGTATATGAGAGATAAACTGTTCTTCAAAAATGGACTTAATTAAATCTCCAAAATTCCCAAGGAAAAGTAGCTAACAATGAATTGATTTGTCTTTGAATTTTTTATATTGTTAAATTTTCGTATGACATAGAGACTCTAGTGTATTTAATATTAATGGAAGAAACTGTATCTTGTCCATTTTTCATTTTTTTTTGCATCCACAGCCAAACTTTCTAGAAGAATACATATAACTTAAAGTGTCTTAACAGCAATCATTCTATTGTGTTTCAAGAGTCTTTTTAACTCTGTTGCCTTTTCCTGCACAGGGATAATTTTTTTGTGCTTGTGATGGCAAAATGTTTCCCGGCCTTATAGCATGCTGCTGGGTTTAGTGGTGATTTTTCTGTAGAGATAATTCCTCTTTGGGGATGCCCCTTTTAGCTAAAAATTATAATTGGAAATTTATAAATATAAGCTTTGAATTGAAAAATCAGATTTAAGCTATGTAAGAATCAAGAATATTGATATTTTTCAAAAAATTGTTTTTCCTCCTTATATATCCAAATTGATATGTATAAGTGCCTGTTTTTGTATTTTACATGTCCAAGTTAATAAATTGGCACATAATCAGTTTTATTTTGGTGACTTATAATTATTAAGCAAACACTAACATGGTTCCTGTAACCCTGAATAAGAACATGATTTTATGCATGCTGTAGGCAGGCCCTCAATGTTTATGCACCAAGTGAATCTTGCTAGACTAGTGGACCACTGTGTCAGTCTCTTGTATTCAAAGCAAAGGAATAAATCATGATGTTACAAGTATGTATCAGTGAACTTCTTGCTGTTCTGTGACCATAGGTAGGGAGGATTACTGTGTAAATCAGTCAGGCATGAAGCCTTGTCATACGCCTCTGTAATTGCACCTCACCAGACTGTCTCTAACTAGTCAGCTGGGGATGTGTGTTTTGTCTCAGACACCCGGCTGGGCAGCCTCTGACAGGAGCTTTCTCATCTGCCTGTCAGTAATATGTTAACTAGAGTGTATCTCTGTGGCCTGCAGAAGTGGGTGGAAGGGATGTTTCTCCATAAAGCAGATGTCTCAATGTTAGTGACTATTTTGACCAACATGTAGCTGGCAAAGAATACCCTTGTGAAGTGTAAGCGTATTAGTTACAGAGATTTGATTGTGTAGTGCATGTTGTTTCTGGGAGATTTAGAGCAAGCAGTATATTGTGAGTGCTGGAATTGCATTAGTAAAGTATAATTTCTTCCTTTGTTATAGTTGCCCCCCGGGCATTTAGCATATGCCTTTTTTTCCTTCTGTCTCCTTCTCTCATTAATTGCATCAGGGGCAGATGCAGAAAGAAGTCTTGTGATCCCCAGAAAATCACCTCTTAAATGTGGATTTATCGGTTTAGCTGGGTGGAAGGAGAGTCCAGAGGATGTTAACCTCTCCATCTGGATCACACACACTCCGAGTTTGTTTCCTAATGGGCTGCTTGTGTCAGCACTGTATCTGAAAGCAGAGCATAGAAAATGTTTCTGCAGATTAAGAATTAAACGGTTGGTGAAAGAACAAAGAGAAGCCCAGCCCACTTGTTAGTTTAGGTTACTGATGTGTGGTTTTGTCCCCTGTGCTTTAAACACTGTAGCAGAGTGGTGCAGTTAGGGGTTGTTATCAATCAAGACCTTTCGGTGATTTTAAATTCTTTTAGTGGCCACAGCAGCCAGCAATGTCTGCTGAAATTGTTGGTGGCAGTTTTACTTCTCAGTGTGTTGTGTGACCTGTGTACTGCCATTCTGAACGTCATGCTGTCCTTTAGCACAAGGTGACTGTGACTGGAGTGTGGGATGGGACTGTTGAGGCCGTCACGAGGTACTCTGAGGGAAGGGACCTCTGTGGCTTAGTAGCAGGAGATTTTCCAGACTGGAAAACTAGAGGTGTTTTATTTTCCAACTCTTGTGATGCTAAGAGCGGTTTTTCATTTAAATAGAAGCAAACATTTCTTTTTGGTTTAGTTCATTTCTTCTAAAATTAAACGATATACTTGGAATTCATACAGCAGAGTTTTTTTTTAATATGACAATTATGGAATCATTTGCAGAGTGCATTAAATTGTCTCTAAAACTGTGATCATGGTAAAAATGAACCTAGATGATTTTGGTTTAATATATTGCTTTCAATAAAGAATGTTGATTCAACTTTGAGTAGTTAACAAAAAAAACTTTGAGTAGTTAAATAAAATTGCATGTATTGTTCCTATTTCTTTATTTAAAACATGGTTGAGGGCAATGTGTTTTTTATAAAATGCAC